GAACAATTTTTTGTATCTCCTTGAGGCATGGACTTCCAGGAATCCCTTCAATTAGTCTACTGCAATCTTTTCCAACCAGTCCTAGGGCTCCAACTACAACAAGGATTGTTGATGTTCCCATATGCCACATTTTTGAGATTTCGATTTCAAGGTCTTTGTATTTTGACAGCTTTTTGAATATCTTCAAAGATACATTGCAGTCAGCAGGGACTGCCATATCAACAAGGAGGCACTTTTTTCGTTTGTGGTCTTTAATAACAATATCTGGGTGGTTGGCTTTGATTGTTCGGTCAGTGTGTATTGTGTAGTCCCATATTATTATTATTATTATTATTATTATTATTATTATTATTATTTCTTTTGATTTCTATTATATACACATTTCCTTCCGGGTCCCAATCAGAGATCTAAGTCCAGAAATGATCATTTTTGAAAAAAAAAAAAACAACATTATTGATGATATAACTAGGAATAGGAATCTCTAAAATAAACTCATTTTGACCACGTGAGAATACATAGAAATATAACTGATCGCGTTAGATGACAAAGACGCAACTTGGTTTCAGTGAGAAAAGGAAAGAAAGATAGAAGTGTTTAACGACTGTTTCGGCGAAATTGAAAAAGGTGTCAATTTCAAATCTTTTTATTTGTACCCCCTTACTTCTTAAAATAACGACCAGTATTCGTATTTATGATTGTTATGGCAATATTTTGTTAAAGTTGTTAAACCCACATATTTAGCGATGGAATATGAGAAATTCTACGGATATTTTATTTTCGTAGAACTCAATATGAACTTATTCAATTACTAACTTAAGAATTAATATTAACCAGAAAATGAAAAGAGGAAGACCTTTAAAATTTCACGGGTATTTCTAGTTTTATTAAAATGCTTAATAAGCATACTTTTACAAACATTCTATTATTTACATTATCTTTTGTTATAAATGTTTGAAAGTTATTTTCTTCATTCATTTTTAAATTATTTTCTCTGTGTTACATACCGTACCTATGAACACTAATGGGTGTGTCCCAATCCTCATAAATACATTGGACACTACTGTAGTGGGGGTGGGGGTAATATGCAATCTAATTAGTCCATCACTAAGAGTTGTTTCCCTACTTCACGCCGCTGATTTTTATTTTGTTGATGTTATAAAGATTACCATTTTATTTCCAACCTCCGTTTTGGTTATTCCTCATTCAGTAACTTTTTCTAGGTTACAACACTCTGTAAGAATATTTTGTTAAAGTTAAGTTCAAATATTATGAGAAAATTTCAACAGATATTTTATTGTTGTAGAACTCGCCATGAATTTATTCAGTCATTAATTGGAGAATTATGATTAATCAGAAAATGGAAATAGGAAAACTGTGAAATTTTAATGGGGCTAAAACTAGTTGTTGTTGTTGTTGTTGTTATCATACTTATTATAAAACCCAGGTTGTGTGTGTGTGTCTGTACGTTTATATATGGGATCGGATTTCCTACATTTTTCAATCGATTTCAACAAAACTTCACAGGACTACGTAAAATTACCTTGCGGTGGTTCTGACAGCACCAAAAATTGGAAAAACACAATTGTTTTTGCACGAAATCAATTTGAAAACACGATTAAGAGTCATCGCAAGAATGAAAGGGGGACAACTCATATCAAATTATACTTATTATAAAACCCAGGTTGTGTGTGCGTGTGTTCGTTTATATATGGAATCGGATTTCCTACATTTTTCAACCGATTTCAACACAACTTCACTTTTTTTTGCCAGGTAGTGTTTCTTATTGTCTTGCACACTTTTTTCATTATTTTTAGATTCAGAATGCTTTAAAAATTCCATTTACAAGACAATTGTTTATAATAAAATTCTATTCAATCGATAGACTCATAACGATTGAAAACAATGTTTTTCTTTGAGTTTGGGTTTGACCAATTCAAAAAAAAAAAAAAAAAACAAAGCAAAAAAAAAAAATTAATTAAGACATGCATGTCCGTCAACCTTAAACAATAATCTTTGTCAATTTTATTTTTTAGTCTTTATGATGGTCGATACTTGATCTATCTCTTACTGTTACATCCCCGGGCAACGCCGGTCTCTACTGCTAGTCATTATTATTATTATTATTATTATTATTATTGAGGAAGCCATTTTATGCCTTAATCTTGGACAAGTTGAAGCACAAGATGTCTTTAAAAAATGAAAATTGTGGCGGGGTTTTGTGGAACGAAGATGCCAGGTTATCACCCGGGAATAATCAATAAAAAATAAAATGAAGGAATATTAAATCTAAAATCATTTTCATTAAATTTGAAATATTAAATGGAAAATCATTTTAAAAAATATATATATATATATATATATATATATATATATATATATATATATATATATATATATATATATGAGTATATATGTATATATCTCTAGGCATGTGCGTAATCACGTGATTATTTGATCTCCCACAACCAATACCGCCACCGGGTTTACAGCCAAATAATGTCAAAACAACGGTTCCTATATGATCACCGAAGTTAAGCAACGTCATGCCTGGTCAGTACCTAGATGGGTAACCACCTGGGAAGTCAGGTTCTGTAACTTGACTGCGCGAGTGGTGTAATGGTGTAATGTAATGTAATCAAGTAGCTTGTGATTTTTAATCTCGTAGTCGAGTTCCAATTCCAGTCGGATTCATTATATTCACTTACGGGCAAGTGCCCTTGGGAAAAGGCATGAATCCACCTCTTCTCCCCTAGCTATGGGTTAATTAGTAAAACTTATCACTAAATCATTATTATCTCTATAAATAAAATTGCATGCCTAATATTTAGATTTCTGCATTAAATAACCCATAGAGGTGTTGATTTGCCGCTAAACAAAACCAACCAACCACTACCACCCCCAGATGACCTAAATAAATAAATAAAATTATAATCATGTGCTAACGCAGATATCGGCTTTTCTCCTCTTCGTTTTAATCCAATTATATTTCATTTGTCCCACTGTTGGTGATTTTCATGCTTTTAATATTTATTTATTGAACGGAATGTGTGGTTAGTGTAAAAACATATCGGCATGGATAATGAAACCAGTAGGGTGAATTCGATGGTTTCAGTTGGTTGATTTTGTTTAGTGGCATATCAACACATCTATGGGTTATTTAATTCCGAAGTCTAAATAATTTGAACATAATTTCATGGCTTCTAATATATATATTTCTACTAAATATATTTTAAACGGAATTGTATTCTTTCAACTACAGATATTGTTTGTATTGTTGGTTATTTTACCACAGAAGGTCCTCGGGTTACGTCGGAACCGACGTATGGAATTACGTGGTGACGGCGCCATCTCACATATCCTAATATGTCGTCACGCAGCGTTATATAAGGAGGATGGCGTTGTTTCATCACCGGGTGTACGCCATATTGGATTGTGCTACATTCGCTATCTCTCGTTTGTCGTTATTGGGGGAATTTTTTGCCTTTCATTACGGATCCCAAACGTAAGCTATACTCGTAGGTGCTTATGTTGGTGAGTACCGACCTACGTCGAAAATCAGGTTACGTCGCGCCATAAGAACGGATCTCCGACGTAAGTCGAGGAACCCCTTTATATGTATTGTTGGTCTTTTTTTTTAGTATAAAAATGTATTGCTGGTATTTTTAATATTAAAATGTATTTCATAGGGTTTTTTCTTGGAGTGGAGTTCACTATTTGCCCATAGCTGGGACCCTAACAGGTGTTACCACCCCGGGTCAGGGTAAACCTGGGAAAAACAGCCATTAAGCGGTGGTGCCACGCTCTTCAAAAACTCCAATCTTCTGATAAGAGAGGCCTTACTTTCGGATGTCTAGTTCCAATTCTGAGCTAGTCTGTTGCACTCAATTTCGCACAAATGCCTTTGGCGGAAGGTCTGAATCCATATCTTCATCCTGCGCTTTTGGTTTGAATAGCTGGGTAGACTGTACTCTTGAGTTCTGGGTGGCAACCAATCTAAGAGAAAGAAAACTGAATTCAAAAACGTGGAGAAGCTAACGGAAAAAGACTCCACTATCATTGGCCTTTTCCAGATAATAAAGAAAAAGAATTTGTGGAGAGCCATAATCACCTACGTTCTGAAATGATACGGCATTAAAAAAAATATGGAACAAATTGATTGTGCTAGACGAAAAAAAAATGTTCCGTATAAATTAAATGAATTTCATTTAAATCTCTGTTAATTGCGTAGCGTAATGAATTATTTCTGATTTTTTAAACTCAAGATGGCATAAGGAGGATTTAGTTTTAAATGACTTCATTCAAAACAATCGTTTTTTTATTGTCTGTACTGTGACAGCTGTCATAGCGTGCATATTTTATTTTGAAAATTTCAAAATTGGCGTAATTTTCTTTACTGAATCTATTGTTGAAAGTAGAATAATCCTCCCACCCCTACAACCCCTTTCCCCTCAGACAGAATGTCGCGAACCTGTCTTTGGTCTATCGCTATTTCTATGCCATGTGTTCTGACAGGCAATATTCCTTACTCCCACTAGCCCTGACCTTTACAACCGGGACCCGCCATGCCACGCACACAAGGGTAAATCATCCCCATTCCCTTCGTATTCCATTAGTAAGGAGGAAGTTTCACGTGGACAACCTCTTACAAGGAACTGTTGCTTTGAAGAACAGACTCACAGTAGGACGTTTTTCTAATCAATACAATCTTGACCGCTTCGTCTTGGGCTAACCGTTATCTTTCCTGCATGACCCCATGAATCTGCATTTTCTTACGCTCATACAACACCACGCAGTAACATACTACCTTGAGTGGCTCTTAGGCCTTGTCCTAGGTGAACATTAATATAAAAAAAATCATAATATTTCTTTTCATGATTCACTTCTTAGCCAACTCCATCAAATGATCCTTATGTACTTTTTAATTTTGTATACGAATTTGCCTAATAACGACTCGGCATGGACGTTCAAATATAACAATATATATTTTACACACGTATTACATACGTATCAGGAGACACTGTGGAGTCATGGTTAGCGGCTCGGATTGAGGAATCGGAGAGCTGAGTTCGAATTCCAGTCGAATCCATTACATTCGCCTCTTCCCCTAAAATAGGCGACAAACCGTGCTCTATAGCCTTGGATGGCAACTGGTCTACTGCAGAAATAAATAGCAACCTGCCTCGTCAGTCATGTATCGCAAGATACATAATCGCCTAAGTGTGTATCATGCATGGCACGTAGCTGGCTGATTATCAGAAGTGTCGTAAGGCTTATAGGTGGTGTGAAAGGGCTACAATTTTCATCTGGCTTAATTTTCGCTGCTACCGAAAACTATCTACCGAGTCATTTCAGACCTGCCCCGTAAATGAATATGTACTCAAAATGCTCAGGAAAAAACGATGACCGGTTTACCGTTTTGTTTTTTTTTAAAAAATGACATCAAATCAGTTTACAAACATTAAAATCACAATTTGATGATTTTTTTAAATAAAAATTGTGATTTTTAATGCATAACCAGTTCACTGCCTTTAAACTTAACCCTAAACCTGTAACCTTAACACCTAACCCTAACCCTAACATATTTCATACTTCCAACAGTTAGTAAATATCATACCATAGTAGAAAATGAATAGTAAATATCATACCATAGTAGAAAATGAATAGTAAATATCATACCATAATAGAAAATGAATAGTAAATATCATACCATAGTAGAAAATGAATAGTAAATATCATACCATAGTAGAAAATGAATAGTAAATATCATACCATAATAGAAAATGAATAGTAAATATCATAGCATAGTAGAAAATGAATAGTAAATATCATACCATAATAGAAAATGAATAGTAAATATCATACCATAGTAGAAAATGAATAGTAAATATCATACCATAATAGAAAATGAATAGTAAATATCATACCATAGTAGAAAATGAATAGTAAATATCATACCATAGTAGAAAATGAATAGTAAATATCATACCATAGTAGAAAATGAATAGTAAATATCATACCATAGTAGAAAATGAATAGTAAATATCATACCATAATAGAAAATGAATAGTAAATATCATACCATAATAGAAAATGAATAGTAAATATCATACCATAGTAGAAAATGAATAGTAAATATCATACCATAATAGAAAATGAATAGTAAATATCATACCATAATAGAAAATGAATAGTAAATATCATACCATAATAGAAAATGAATAGTAAATATCATACCATAATAGAAAATGAATAGTAAATATCATACCATAATAGAAAATGAATAGTAAATATCATACCATAGTAGAAAATGAATAGTAAATATCATACCATAATAGAAAATGAATAGTAAATATCATACCATAATAGAAAATAAATAGTAAATATCATACCATAATAGAAAATGAATAGTAAATATCATACCATAATAGAAAATGAATAGTAAATATCATACCATAGTAGAACCTAATTTTCTTAATATATGTCAATAATATACTCCGGCTTTCCCCTTCCACTTATACAACACTGCTTCACATATTATGTAGATGCAAGTCGACGTCAATATTGACTTTTAGACACTAATCAATGACGTCATCAAGTAGCTTTATTAATGACGTCATAACGTAGCCCAAATATTTCAGGGGTAATTCACGTAGGGGCGCCAAAATTGTATTTAAGCCCGGGTGTCGAGAAAACTTGCTGCATCACTTCTTTGTGTCGCACTCCTTCAGAACGTTGACGATCATGGTTCTCCACAATTTCCTGTCCTTTGTAGCACTTAGTTATTTTCTTTTTGTTATCTCTCCTTAACCCTTTTCTGCCAGCCATTTACACAAGCTCGTTAGGTAGGTCATGCGCTGTTTTCCTCTGTCCCTCTTGACTTCGACATATCCTGTGAGTGTCAATTTTTCCAAACCCTCTTTCCTTGTTATGCGCCATTTAAATTTCAGATGTCTCTATCTGATGTTAAGCATAAGTGTTCTCCACCCCCATTTTTCTCAAAAACTGGAGGCTAAGAAGAAGAAAAAAAAAAACAAAAACAAAAGATATGGTTTTTATAATAACAAAAAATCTGTCAACAAACTAACAACGTCAAATAATGTTACCAAATCAAGAACATTCATCTATCTATCTTCCCGATAAACAAATCTAAGAATTATCTGGCCATTTTTTTCCTTCTTAAAATTTATCGAAAGGGCCTGTTCCTTTTTTATCTATCATTGTTTATTTGTTCTGATAAAAATCATATCTTAAATCTATCAGTGGAGATATCTATGGATGATCTATCTAATCACTTCTTATTCCATCGAACCCAAGTAGATCTAGAAATCAAATCAGATTTTAAAGGATCAATTATTATTCATATTTGTCATATCTATCTCAAGATGGATATGAATCGAATTAAGATAAAGGAATTAAATATATATAATCTATCTATCAATATATATATATATATATATATATATATATATATATATATATAAATGATTTAAAAATATTTACACACATCAATGTCTTATCCTTGATGTTTGTTGTGTGTTTACATCATAAAATGTAAAAATCCATCAATACATAATCTTAGTGTTTTTCATCCAT